TTTTGTGGGTCAGAAGATAAAAAGTTTGGGAACCACTGGTCTACAACACAGAACAGCACCGCAGGGGGCGGGGCTTGTTGAGTATTTCTTATTTTCCCAACATTGGAGTTACATCTACCTAAACAAGATTTAATCATGTTTCTGTTATTTTCCATGTAACATGATAGATTAATAGAAGGATTTAATAAACATTTTTTGTTTTATTTTAGTTTTTTTATAACTTTCCAGCTGCTGATGGCCTCAGTAAATAGAAGGATAAAGAACGTAAATATAAACTTAGATGTTATTATCAAACTTTCGAAAGTATTCGCTTCAGAAAATAACTGTTCAAGAACAAATTTATTTTAAAAATGTAGTGTAGGACTGTAGCTGTACTACATTTATATAACCATTACATGTTTTATAWGTATTTTATATGGTTCATATTCCATCCATGTTTTCAGTGGTTAGGCCAAATCTGCCAAAACCTAGTTTGATAATATATTTGTGGCAGTTTTTAAATTTACAATATTCATTAATAATAAAAATCTGGTCACTAACACCAGCCTGTATCTTGTGCTAAAGTTCAGTAAACAGATGAAATGAAGCTGCAGGTAGGGGGCTCCTTAAGGGGGAGAGCGAGTACGACTCATTTCAACGCCCTCAGTGTTCCACGGTCGTTCAGTTTAGCTGAAAAAACTGGACATCCCTGTTTATACGGGACAGATGGCAACCCAAGTTCTGTTTCACAAGTTTCATCTTCAGCAAATTTCAGATGAATTGAATTAAGTTAAATTCAAATTAACTTAATATTGAAATGAATTAAAATGAAATTAAATTATAGCAAATTATAAAATTCCTTATAATTTGACAGAAATGGTCATTTCTATCATTGTAGTATTTTTTTATCAAAACTTTTGTCTTGTTTCTTGTCAAGCAGCTTTAAAATGATACCAGGTTTTTCAGGAAGAGCGTGTCGTAACTTTTGGTTTTCGTATATTGCCRCTGCCCGATCTGAAACATGATCTGTACCATCAGCTCATTTGTGCACGCGCTAAATGATAAGACCTCTGGATTATCGGTTTATGTGCTGGATTTAGAAAAAAAAATCTGAAAATAATTAATCCCATACTTAATTATAAGGGTCTGCTAAATTATTTTATGAAAACTGTTTTAATATCAAAAAGAAAAAAATTGTATAGGTCCTCTGGAC